ATATTTGATGGAGAAATTAAATCTTCTTAACAAGCAAACTTTGAGGAAATTTATCTCAACTAGACCTGCCCTGTGGACCTGCTCTATACACAGACTTCTATATGTGTAAAACTACCCAGAAACTAAAGGTCAAAGCCTAAATCCCACAATGGCCTAAGAGACAGAACAGCATATTAGAGTCCCACACAACTGGATGAACAGAAATCCATCCCACTCATTAATTCTCTCAATAAATGTGAGTAGTTTGGACTCCCCACTGAAGAGATATAAGCTGACTGGATAAAAAAAATACAAGCCAAAAAAGAAAGGAGGAGCTATAGCTCTGATCATTGACTCCATTGATGTCAAAGCAACTAAAGTAAAGAAAGACAAAAAATGGACATTATGTATTGGTTGAAGCAGCAATTCAAGGAGAAGAAATATCAATTCTAAATATTCATACACTCAGCTTAGGTGTTCCCAAATTCTACTTAATCTAAACAAAAATGATAATAATGTAATAGCCAGGGACTTCAACACTCCACTGACAGAACTGGACAGACCATCTAAGCAAAAATTAAATAAACTGTGTGTTTAAATGCAACTACAGAACAAAAGGGCTTAACAGACTTTTACAGAACATTCCACCCAACAGTACTAAATATACGTTGTTCTTATCAGCTCATACTTCACTTTCCAAGATCAATCACGATGAAGTTTTAAAAAATGTATTTTTACAGACCACGGTGGAATAAAATCAGAAATCAATCCCAACAGAAACACTCATCCCAACACAAAGTCATGGAAACTAAACAACTTATTGCTAAGTAATGATGGGGTCAAGGATAAGATAAAGATGGAAATCAAAAGATTATTTGAACCAAATGACAGTGGGTCCACAAGCTATCAAAATCTGTGGGATACTATAAAAGTGGTCCTGAGAGGGAAACTCATTGTCTTAAATGCCCACATCCAGAAATCAGAAGGATTGCAAATCAACAATTTAATAATTCTTCTCAGGGAACTGAAAAAAGAAGAGCAAACCAATCCCAAACACAGCAGAAGAAAAGAAATAACAAAGACTGTCAGGGATAAATAAAATCAAAAATGAAAGGACCATAAGAAGATTAATGAAGCAAAAAGGTCATTCTTTCAAAAACATTAACTAAATTGATAAGCCTTTGGCCAGATTAACCAGAAACAAAAAAGCAGGGTCTCTAATGAGCTCAATCAAAAATGGAAAAAGGTGAAATAAAAACAGATACTATGAAAGTACAAAACATTATCACTGATTACTATAAAAATTCTCCATGTGCATAAATTCAAAAATGTGGAGGAATTGGACAAATTCTTAGAATCACACTAGCTTCCTAGACTCAACCAGGAAGAAATAGAACTCTTGAACCAACCAACATCAAATACTAAAATTGAAGCAACAAGTAAAAATCTTCCAACAAAAACAAGTCCCTGAACAGGAAAGTTTCATACCAGAATTCTACCAAATCTTCAGAGAGGAACTCACACCTATTTTTCAGAATCTATTTCATAAGATTAAAAAGGATAGAATCCTCCCAAACTTGTTCTATAAAGAAAATATCACCTTGTTATCAAAGCCAGGAAAGAACATCACAACAACAAAAAGAATGTAACAGACCAATATTTCTAATGAATATAGATGCAAAAATTCTCGTTAAAATCGTAGCAAATAGAATTTAGCTGCACATCAAAAAAAAAAAAAAATTCATTGCAACCAGGTAGGCTTCACATCCTAGCAATGCAAGATTGGTTTGCCATATACAAATCTATAAATGTAATTCACCACATAAATAGAAGTAAAAACAAAGACCACGTGACCCTCTCAATAGATGCAGAAAAAGCATTTGTCAAAATTCAGCACCTTTTTTTTTTTTTTGATAAAAACACTTAAGAATATTGTCATAGATAGGACATTCTTTAAAATGATAGAAGCCATCTTATGACAAACCCACAGCCAACATCATATTGAACAGAGCAAAACTGAGAGCATTCTCATTTAGAATTGGAACCAGACAAGAATCACCACTAGTATTCAACAGAGTACTGGAAGTCTTAGTGCAATTAGACAAGAAAAGGATAGCAAGGATATTCAAATGAGGACAGGAGAGGTCAAACCTCCATTCTTTGCTGATGATATGATCTTATACCTAGAAAACTTCATGGACTCAACCAAGAGATGCCTGGAATTGATAAATAAATATAGCAATGTGTCAGGGTACAGATCAATGTACACAAAAGAGAAGCCTTCATACACACCAACAACAGTCAAGCTGAGAATCAAATCAAAGACACAGTACTCTTCACAATAGGATCAAAGAAAATAAAATACCTTTGACTTATATTTAACAAAGGAAATGAAGGATCTTTATAGGGAAAAGTACAAAACACTGAGAAAAGAAATTGCAGAGATTGTTCATAGATGGAAAACATATCATGCTCATTGACTGGCTGAATCAGCATTGCTGAAAATATTGCCCAAGGTGATTTACAGGTTCAGTGTAATTCCCATTAAAATAGGAAAATCGTATTTTAAAAATCTTGAGAAAATGGTTCTACACTTTGTATCTAATCAGAAAAAACTTCAAGTAGCCAATTCAATCTTATGAAATAAAAATAAATCTGGAGGAAGCACTTTATCAGACTTCAGGCTATACTACAAGGCGATAGTGATCAAAAGAGCATGGTATTGGCATAAAAATAAAAACATAGATAGACCTATGGATCAGAATAGAGAATCTAGAGATGAAATCATCCTCATATTCTGCATTCTGATCTTTGGCAAAGCAGACAAAAGCATACACTGGGGAGAAGAATCCCTATTTAATATATGGTGCTGGGAGAATTGGATACCCACAGAAACAGGATCTGTACCTCTCACCATTAAAAAAAAAATTAACTCCTGATGGATAAAAGATTTAAACATAAGGCATGAAACACTAAAAATTCTAGAAGTTTAAGTGTGGGAAAACTCTTACAGATATCAACCTAGGGAAATAATTTATGAAGAAGACCCCAGTGGCAATCAAAGCAACAACAAAAATAAATAAATGGGACCCAATTAGTTAAAAAGTTAAACATTTCTGCACAGGCAAGGACACACCTAAGTGAAGTATCACAAGAATGGAAAAACAAAGCAAAGTAAATGGACACCTACAGAATGGGAGAATTGGATATGCATGCTACACATCCGATCAGGCCTGATTACTAGAATCTATAAAGAACTCGAGAAAATCAACAAGAAAAGATCAAATAAAACCATTAGAAACTAAGCATGAGACATGAACAGAAACTTTTCTTATGAAGGTAGTGTAATGGCCAACAAATACATGAAAAATGCTCCTTGTCTCTAATCATCAGGGAAATGCAAATCAAAACCACACTGAACTATCACCAGTGAGAAGGGCTCACATTATAAGATCCCAAACAGATGCTGGCATGGATGCAGAAAGAAAGGAACACTCAGACACTGTTGGGGGTTGTGTAAACTAGTTCAACGTCTATGGAAAGCCATATGGAGATTCCCAGCAGAACTTAAAATAGACCTACTTTTTGATCCTACAATCCCTCTACTAGGTATTTACCCAAAGGGAAATAAGACATTTTATAAAAAAGACACACCCAAATGTTCAGAGCAGCACAACACAATTGCAAAGATGTGGCAACAACCAAAGTACCCACTAATACATGAATGGAATAATAAATTGTGTCATATGTACACCATGGAATACTATTCAGCTATAAAAAGGAGGAAGATCTAGTATCCTTTGTAACAACCCAGATGGAATTGGAGACCATTCTCCTGTCAGTGTTTTTCCACCTTTTTTTTATCTCATGACACACTTGAACCTACAATTAGACTTCCACAGCATACTTAAATTATGTTGATATGTTGACTCCCCCAAAAAAGTAAAAAAAAAAAAAATAGTTACTGTGTTTTGAACTTCTTTCAAAAATAATTTAATTATCGATCTTTAAAAATTGTTGCAGCACACCTAGGATCTGCTTAAGTTACACCAGTGTGCCATAGCACACTTGTTGAAAATCACTGTCCTAAGTGAAGCATCACAAGAATAGAAAAACAAACACCACATATATTAACTAACTAAATTAGAACTAGTTTGACCAACACCTATATGCTCAAATCTCAATAAAATTAGAGGGTGGGGGGAAAGGAATGGGAAAATTCTCATGCAACAGGTACATTGCGTGGGTATATTGCACACTTTCTGGGTGAAGGACACATCTATAACTCTAACTGTAAATATACAAAAGCAATTTATGTAACCCAAGTCTGTGTACCTGTGTAATATTTTGAAATCAACCCCCCCCCAAAATACTTGCAAGCATAGACACCAGAATTATTAAACAGAAAAACAGGGGGAAAAAAAGGCTAGGTCAATAAAAGTGACTCAATCATGGGCAACCACAATGAGCAGAACCATAAGCCATCAGGCTATTTTAAAATCTATGTTTGATGAGCCTAACAACTCGTACTCCTCTGGATAGACTTCTACTGCTTATTGTTTCTGCTCGTTATCATCCACTTTGTATGTGCCTAGTAATTCCAAATTGTTTACCACATATTATATTTGAAGGATTTTTTTTTTAGAGGTCACATGAAGTCTAAGATAATACAATGTTTCTTCAAAGATACATTGCATTTATTTCTGCTGGGTAACTAAGATGAAAGTACTTAAGAAAGTGCCCATCACATTGCAAATGGGTAATTCACATTATTACATGTCTGTATGCCCCACCTGAATTAAGAACACATCAGCTTTAAGACTCTCAACATCAGTAACATTCTGGTCCAGGGTCAATATATTAAAAATAGCTGCTAAGTAAATGATTGGAGGAACTGATAATGAGGTGAGATGTGTGTGTGAATCACACACGTATACATATACATGCCAAATCACAAATACTTTTATAGGAGAACATTTTGCATACCGTTTCTAAAAGAATTATATAAATCTAGAATTTACCTTTAACAGATCTTGTTCTGGCTGGCTTGGAGGCAATTTCTTCACTTTCATGTTCCATGACACGAGCTTCTGTGAAAAGGAAAAAAATGAGATGACTTGGATATTTGTAAAAATTCGTTTGAGGGTTGTATGACTTCAGTATAATTTTTTGTCATTTAATTAATTTGGATGATGTGTGAATCCATCAGCACTGTTGTTCTACTTCTGCAGTTCATCTAGATTGCCTGAATGATGGTTCCTTCTCATTACTCCTCCTTTACCTGAGCTTTTCTGATCCTTTGAATTCCCTTATTGATTCCCATCACCAAGGTCTGTAGTGCCCAGTTGGGCAGTGGCAGATCTTCAAGGTCAAGCCTTCTATTATTGCCCTATGGCCCTAGAATTCGACGTGTAGACAGAAGGTAATCCCATCTTTGCACCCTGTAAACCTAACCGGGGTGGGGGGATCATTTATTTGAATGCCTTCTACTCCCTTCGCTCCACTTGACTCTATTAGACTGTGCTCAGATTGTATTTACCGAGGACAGACTGTCGATGAGGTTTTCTTGGCACAGCCGGTGATGGCAGGAAAATGTCAAGTGGAAATTCAGCAACGTTTACTACCACTCCGGAACCTTGAGGTAAATGATCAGACCGCTGTTTTTCTGCTTTAACAGATACGGTACTAGGTGCACGGCCTGATGCCTTTGCACCTTCATCTGTCAAGATGTGCGGGTAAACAAAGCTTGAGCTCTCTGGGTAAGATTTGGGAGCGGTGACTGAGTAAGGAGTAGTAATGAGAGGTCTGGAGAAACGTGAAGAAAGAATTAAAATGTCTTGTAGCCTTTCATCAGTATAAGGCTGATGATCTTTTACAACCTTTTTGGGTGCTTTTAACACTTTTGGTTGGTACATTTCTTTTTCTTTTCCTTTTTCTTTTTCTATTTCTTTTTCTTCCTCAACCGGAATAGAAGCTGGTAGAGAACTTGGAAGAAATACGGGAACAGGAGCAGGATCTGGAATGTTCCAGCGGACATTTTTAGTAAATTTTGAGTGTTTTAACATTGTAGTCATTATATCTGGTAAAGAACGACCAAGAACAAAATCTCGCAATTTGGTAGATCGTACTGATTTATCTATGGACACAACATCCGGAAAACTGGTTTTATCTCTTAAAATTGAAGTGGTTTCACCTTCATGTGGTGACTTAGTTTCACCAGTCTTGGCTACACAGAAAAGAGGGGGGAAAAAGAAAGATTAGATTAGATTTATCAAGATGTCAGAGACCGCAAATGTCTTAGAATTTATAACTTCAGTACACACTCACCTTTTAAAATTGTTTCTATTTATATTTACACAACTACCAGAGCTTCTGTTGAGCTTCCTGAGATAAAGTTTTAGTGAACAATTAGGGAAGTGAAAAGGCTAAATTAAATTGTATTAGATTTAGAAAGGGTACAGAGATACTCTTGGAAGAAAAGAATGCAAGGACAGAAGAGTGAGATCCAAGGGAAAAAATTTTGAGTGATTTCCAGTAAAATTCTGGCAGTACAGGTGGGTAAAATTATTTTGGTGAAATTTTCCTACTTATCACACATCATTAGCACTCCTTTTTTGAAATTCATTTGAGCAAAGATTTACATTTCTTTTAAATGCTAGATGTCAGATTTTTGAACATGATAATATTCCAATAGTGTTATGGGGTGCCATAAGTTCATTTAGATTACAATAAGAAGTATTCTTTTCTCTCTTAGGTCTAGACAAATGCACTTATCCCGCGTTCATAGGCACCTCACTACATCAAACACACATCTGCCGTTTCTTTCCTATACAACAGAATGGTAAATGGCATTTTTCTGTTGTTACATCAAATATGTGTTTTCTCCTATACAACATAATGTTAAATGATATCTTTCTGCTGTTGCAGCTGAGTACAATAAATAGCAGGGACCTTTACATTCTACTGTAGAGATAATAGATTTCATAAGGTAAAACTTGTAAGCCAAAATGACTCCTTGAACCCTCAGCCCTTCACCCATCTATTATTTACATATAAAAGATGGCTAAGGATTGATCCGGGTTCAGAGAGAGGATTTCCTCTAAATAGAGCTATTAGAGGACTATGCATTTCCCTGATTTTCCCTTCCCATGGTGGGTAGAAGAGAGATGATGTCCCCCATCTCAAACTACGTGAGAGGGACCTCAAAGAACCATTTACATGTACATATAGAGAACAAGGGTATATGCCACAAGGAGAGAACATCTCACCACTCCCTTATCCACTTCCCCCACTGATTCTTGCAGAGCAGCAAAAATCTATTGGTCCAACTTACTGCTATTTCCCAACCAGAGTCAGATAAGAAGATCCTTGAAACTACTTGACAAAAATCTATTGGTCCAACTTACTGCTATTTCCCAACCAGAGTCAGATAAGAAGATCCTTGAAACTACTTGACTTGTATTTCCCGTTATTTTGGAAGGCACACGACGGACGCTGATTCTCACCTTAGCTCTTCTCCACTCCTACCCCCACCTATGAAGGATTCAGAAACTGTTAAGTTGAAAGAGAAAACTACTGAGAAAAGGACAGGGTGAAAGAACTGATCGTGCCTCTCTTTCCCTTTGCTTGTGTAAAAATTAGCAGGCCTAGATCGAGCTGGGAAAAAGGACAAGATTTGATTGTATGATAGATGGAAGTTCTGACTTCAGTCAGCTGTTTAGTATCTGAAAATAAGACAGAGCTAATATGCGAAAGTGATTGGAAGAGCCCTGGAGATTACAGAGGTGTGTGACACCCGAGCCTGAAGGGCAGGAGCAGGAAAACCAAGTTTACTTCCCCTTTATATGGAACCAATCAAAGCTAGTTTATTCAACAAAATATTACAAGAATATCTCCAACTTCATTTTCTCACTCTCTCCCATTAAAATAAAACACATTACCACAGCAAACTTTTCAATAGACTGCAGAACAACTCTGGAACTTCCCAAGTACCGTCCTCTCACCACTTTTGTCGACTTTAGTGGCAAACTGAAGTAATTTGTGCTCATTAGTTTGATCTCCTCCCCTCTTTGATTTGTTATTTCATTTTATTTATTCTGCAGCTACTTATTAACTTAATAGACTATTTTTAAAATGGTTTTAGATATACAGAAAAATTAAGCAGGATATTATCTTATATCCCTCTCCTGCACACAGTTTCACCTATTACTAGGTATGAACATCTTATATTATTGTGCTATATTTATTGCAAATAATGAATCACTGTTTATATCTTATTAAATATTACATTAGAGTTAACTCTTTGTGTTGAACAGTTCTGTGGGTTTTGACAAATGCATAATGTCTTTTATCCACCATTTTAGTATCATACAAAATAATTTCACTACCTGAAAGTCCCCTGTGCTTCACTAATCCATCCTTTCCCCTCTTCCTGAAATCCTGGTTTTAAAACACTGATTATCTTAGTGTTTCTATAGTTTTTCCTTTTCCAGAATGTTGCATTGTTGGAATCATAAAATATGTAGACTTTTCAGAGGGGCTCTGTCATTTAGCCATATGCAATTCAAGTTCCTACATGTCTTTACTTGACTTGATAGCACATCTCTATTTATTTATTTATGAATGACAGAGTCTCACTTGTCACCCTTCGTAGAGTGCAATGGCATCATAGCTCACAGCAACATCAAACTCTTGAGCTCAAGTGATTCTCCTGCCTCGGCCTCCTGAGTAACTGGGACTGCTGGCGCCTGCCACAAGGCCCGGCTAGTTTTAGAGATGAGGTCTTGCTCTTGCTCAGGCTGCTCTTGAACTCCTGAGGTTATGCAATCCACCACCTGGGCCTCCTAGAATGCTAGGATTACAGGGGTGAACCACTGTACCCGGCCTCAGCTCATTTCTTTTTAATGCTAAATAAAGTCCATTGTCTGGATGTATCATGGTTGGTTAATTTAGTTATTTGCCTATTGAACTGCTTCCATTTGGAGGCTATTCAGAATAAAACTAATAGAAATGTGCATGTATAGGTTTGAGGGTGGACATAAATTTCCATCTCAACTGGATAAATACCTGGGTATGCTGTTGCTATGCTGCTGCACTACATTAAGACTTGATTACAACACTGCCAATCCATCTTCAAAAGTAGCTGTACCATTTTGCATTACCACCAGGGAAAAATGAGGGTCCGTTTCTCCTCTCCAGCAATGGGTGTTGTCAATGTTTTGAATTTTAGTCATTCTAACAGGTCTCCAGTGATGCCTGGTTGTTGTTTTTCATTCGCATTTTATAATGGCATACGAAGTTGACCATCTTTTCATATGCTTATTTAGCATCTGGATATCTTTTCTTGTGAAGTGTCCACGTCCTTTGAGCATTTTTTAATTGGGTTGTTTTGTTGTTAAGAGTTTTTTATTTTGAATACAAGTCCTTTATCAGCTATGAGGTTTTCAAATCTTTTCTCCCATTCTGTGACTTGTCTGTTTATTATTTTAATATCTTTTCACAGAACAGAAGTTTTTGATTTTAATGAAGTCCAGCTTATCACTTGTTTCTTTCATGGATTGCTCCTTTGGTGTCAGAACTAAAAAGTCAGCACCAAACCCAAGATCACCTACTTTTTTTCCTCATTATATTCTAGAATTTTCATGGTTTTGCATTTGTACATTTAAATCTATGATTTGTCTTTTGATAATTTTTGTGAAAGGGGTAAATTCTGGTCTATGTTTACTTTTTCAATGTGGATGCCTGGTTGTTCCAGGGCCATTTGTTGAAAAGATTATCCTTTGTTTGTTAAATTGTTAGTTGACCTGCCAGGCACAGTGGCTCACATCTGTAATCCTAGCACTTTAGGAGGCTGAGGCGGGTGGATTGCTTGAACTTACAAGTTGGAGACCAGCCTGAGCAAGAATGAGACCCTGTCTCTACTAAAAGTAGAAAAAAAATTGAGGGAAGAGGATTACTTGGCTCCAGAGTTGGAGGTTGCTGTGAGCTATGATGCCCAGAGTGAGTTTAAGACTCTGTCTAAAAAAAAAAAAAAAAATTGTCAGTTGACCACATATCTTCAGTATATTTCTGGGCACTGTATTCTCATCCATCAATTTATTTGTCTTTTCTTTTGCCACTACAACATTGTCTTAAAGTTAGGTAATCCTCCTTTTTCCTTCTTACTCTTTGGTGTTTTGTTGGTTATTCTAGGTCTTTGCCTTTCTAGCATTATTTTGTCAATATACACAAAGTAACTTGCAAGGATTTTGGCTAGGATTGCATTGAATTTATGTATCAAGTTGAGAAGAATTGACATGTTAACAATATTGAGTATTCCTATTCATAAACATGAAATATCTCTCCATTTACTTAGATCTTCTTTATTTCTTTACAATTTTGTACTTTTCCTCAAACAGAACCTAGACATATGTTGTTGGATCTATGCCTAAGTGTTTCTTTTAAGGGGGGTATTAATAGTAATTGTAGTGCTTTCATTTTAATTTCTATTTGTTTATTAGTATATATAAGCAAATGACTTTTGTACATTAACCTTGTAACCTATAACCCTTAACTGCTAATTATTTCCAAGAGTTATTTTGTTAATTCTTTGGGATTTTCCACATAGACAATCACACCAGCGGTTAATAAAGATAGTTTTATTTCTTTTTTCCTCAATGTATATAGCTTTTATATCATTTTCTTATCTTACTGCAACTTTATGAAACTTACGTAAGTTTCCAGGTACAATACCAAATAGCAGTGGTAAAAAGAGACTTCATTTCTTTGTTCTTGATCTTAGTGGGAAGACTTTTAGTTACCCATCATTAAGAATGATATTAGCTATAGTTTTTTGTTGGGGGGGGCGGTTTATCAAGTTGAGGAAGTTTCCCTCTACTCCTAATTTGATGAGTTTCTTCATAATTTTGTGCTGGATTTTGACAAATGCTTTTCCACCTCTATTGATATGATTATGTGATTTTTCTTTTTTCAATGTGATGGATAACATTAGTCAATTTTTGAATGTTGAACCAGCTTGAATTGCTAAAATGATTCCAGTTTGGTCATTATGTAAAATTATTTTTATTTATTTTTAATTGTTGGGGAATCATTGAGGGTATAATGAACCAGGTTACACTGCTTGTGTTTGCTGGGTAAAGTCCCTCTATTAATAGTGTCCCACCCTCAAGAGGTGTATCACATACCATGACCCCACAACCCATTTCCTCCTTCCCTATTCCCCCTCTC